AATACACACTTTACATTAGTTAATGTAGTTTTTAGGTACTTAACTATTTTTTGAGACATTTATTGGGGGCGGGGGGGGGGGGGTGTTGTATTAATTGGTCTTTGATTGTAAACTTTTTTTAATTTAAATTTAAAAAAAAGTGTCAAACGTATTACTATAGTTTAATTGTGTGTGAACGGCATTTTTAATTGTCTACTCTGTAAAAGTTTTTTTTTTTTTTTTTTTTAAGACAACTGGAAACCTACTAAAATATATTAAATGGTATTTTAAATGATAATTTTAAGAAAACCTTGGGATTTATTTGCTTTTCATGGTATAAAGTGCAGCCCTAAATAAATAAATCAAACAATTAATTAAATATTGTGAAACAGCGAAGTGTAGCGCTGATGTAGGATACAGTGCAAAATAAATGAGAAATATGGAACAGCCAAGTGCAACATATAAAGTGAAAATGAATAAAACCCATAAATATAAACAATGAGTAGTGTCCGTGGGACTATAAGGCACAGCAATCACGGTGGAAGATAAAATGTGAAATGAAATGATGAACTGTGAAATGAAGTGAAGTGAGGAAATCCACCACCTCTGTCAGATGTAAATTCATCAGAAAACGACTGGTAAACAGCATGTATGCATATCATAACATAGGAAACAGCCAGAAGCTTCTACTGTGAATGTGGAATGCTCTGCCATAGGCAAACTGGGCACTCGTAGACGTACCCCTGAAGACGTGCAGATGGAGCCACACTTGCTGACATCACGCAGCCGCTGCCGAAGGTCAGAGCGGTGGCCATCTTGGTACTCCATTTTTATGTTCCACGTGGATTGTTTTACTCAATTTTTACAATAAAGTACTGCACCATGTATCATTTCTGGGCTCCTGTGGTGAGATATTTTTCCTAGGTGAGGGCCCACCTGCAGTTTGCCTATGGCATGCGCAGGAGTGGCATAATCGCGGCCCGGACCGTCAGACGGCCGGAGCTCATGAACCTGGAAGGAATAAGGGTGAAGATGGAAGTCTCTACAGCGGTGACTGTGTGCTGCTGGAGGCCTTTGTTTTAAGGCAAATTTTACATAATGTGTTCGTATGCAATGCATACCAGCACATTATGACATTACCTTGCAGGGAGTTTTTTTTTTTGGTCTGCGGTTTACTACTGCTTTAACGGAGAAGTATGAGCTTGTAATAAAAAAAAACCCAAAACATTTATACTTGCTTAGGTGGATGCAGTATCAACGCGATGCTGCATTTGTCCCCCACTGGCTGTAAGACTGAGAACTGAGTGATCAAACATGCTTATGGCTCAGTTCTCAGCCTTCAGTAATCAGAGAGCTGTGACTGTCAAGTCAGGGGCTCTCTTCTGCTCTGCTCTTCCAGAACTCACTGGAGAACTGGGCTGTGGAGTGGGTGGAAGTGGTGGGCTCAGGCTCCCAGCGGCTTACTGAGAGGCTGAGCCAGCTACTGGTTCAGGCATCTAGGTGGATCCGGACCACATCTCCAGATTTTTTCAGAGCCTGAACTGGCTCTGTGATGTCAGCCACCAGTGGGCTTTGTCTTGCTGTTGGCTGAAAATGATTACAGGAGTGCAGAATGAACTGCACTACTGTGATCCCCAGGAGAAGTACAGCCAAAATAGCTTTGGATATACCTCTCCTTTAAGTCTTTTTTTTAGGGGACAGAGTTACATTTTTAGAATTACTCTCACTTTGTTTCTCGACGACAGAAGTCACCAGTACAGACAGAGGGTTTATCTCCCCAATGGGGGCACAGACAGCAATACAAACTTGGCAGAGGGTCTAACCCTCCCCTACACTATCCAAAACAAAAGGTTTGACCTATAGATTGACTTTAAATCAATTGTTTTATAGTTGGATGACTCCAATAGCTATATTCCTAAGAACTCCTAAAGTAAGGAGAATGCCCCTCTTGGCTGTCCACATTTAAAGATTTCCCCTCAACTCTTTTTCAGGGGACAACCCTACAACTTTAGATTTACCCTCCCTTTGTTTCTTGGTGACAATGGTCATCTGTACAAGTACAGGGACACAGGCAGCAATACATACTTAGGACAAAGTCTCACCCTCCTCTACATTATCCGAAACTAAAACAAAAGGTTTTGCCTATGGACACTTTAAAGCAGTTTTAAACCCCAAACTAAAAATGTAATATCAAATATGGTGGCTGCATTAGTTTTTTTTTAGGCTTTTGTTTCCCATTTCACCTGATGATCTGCCCAGTAACACCTCCTATATTAGGTCTGGTTAACACTACTGCTGGCCGTGCAGCCCGCGTTTGAGCGGGCACAGCAGCATATTCATTTGAATGGGCTTCTGTGCTCGTGGTTCACACAAGGAAAAGGTGCATAAACCTTTTTTGAAACATATCCGCACAGAAACTGCATGGTCTTTTTGATCATGCGGTTTCCATGCGGTTCCCACACTCGCGATTGTGCCACAATAGCACTGCAGGATGGGATGCATGGGGGTGCCATTCAGAATGAATGGCAACTCCCTGCGTCTCACAAGAGAAGCCTGATAAGGCTGGTTGTGGGTGCGGGAATCACATTGATTCACATGTGATCACATCACAGAATGCGGGCTAGTGTGAACCTAGCCTGAGAATGCCTTCAGGCTGGATGCAGGAGCAACAGAGGCGCCGTTGGACAGCAGCATTGTCAGTCTGGGAGGAGGGGAGTGTTGGATGTACTAGCAGATTCAGACGCCAGCTAATATTTATAAGTGTACAGTGGGGATCGAAAGTTTGGGCACCCCAGCTAAAAATTTGTATTAATGTGCATATAGAAGCCAAGGAAAGATGGAAAAATCTCCAAAAGGCATCAAATTACAGATTAGACATTCTTATAATATGTCAACAAAAGTTAGATTTTATTTCCATCATTTACACTTTCAAAATAACAGAAAACAAAAAAATGGCGTCTGCAAAAGTTTGGGCACCCTGCAGAATTTATAGCATGCACTGTCCCCTTTGCAAAGCTGAGACCTGCCAGTGTCATGGATTGTTCTCAACCATCGTCTGGGAAGACCAGGTGATGTCAATCTCAAAGGTTTTAAATGCCCAGACTCATCTGACCTTGCCCCAACAATCAGCACCATGGGTTCTTCTAAGCAGTTCTCTAGAAAACTGAAACTGAAAATAGTTGACGCTCACAAAGCTGGAGAAGGCTATAAGAAGATAGCAAAGTGTTTTCAGATGTCAATATCCTCTGTTCGGAATGTAATTAAGAAATGGCAGTCATCAGGAACAGTGGAAGTTAAAGCAAGATCTGGAAGACCAAGAAAAATATCAGACAGAACAGCTCGCAGGATTGTGAGAAAAACAATTCAAAACCCACGTTTGACTGCACGATCCCTCCAGAAAGATCTGGCAGACACTGGAGTTGTGGTCACTATTCCACTATAAAGAGATACTTGTACAAATATGGTCTTCATGGAAGAGTCATCAGAAGAAAACCTCTTCTACGTCCTCACCACAAAAATCATCGTTTGAACTTTGCAAATGAACATATAGACAAGCCTGATGCATTTTGGAAACAAGTTCTGTGGACCGATGAGGTTAAAATTGAACTTTTTGGCCGGAATGAGCAAAGGTACGTTTGGAGAAGAAGGGGCACAGAATTTAATGAAAAGAACCTCTGTCCAACTGTTAAGCATGGGGTTGGATCAATCATGCTTTGGGGTTGTGTTGCAGCCAGTGGCACAGGGAACATCTCACGAGTAGAAGGAAAAATGGATTCAATAAAATTTCAGCAAATTTTGGATGGTAACTTGATGCCATCTGTGAAAAAGCTGAAGTTAAAGAGAGGATGGCTTCTACAAATGGATAATGATCCTAAACACACCTCGAAATCCACGGGGGATTACATCAAGAGGCGTAAACTGAAGGTTTTGCCACGGCCTTCACAATCTCCTGACCTCAACATAATTGAAAATCTATGGCTAGACCTTAAAAGAGCAGTGCGTGACAGACAGCCCAGAAATCTCAAAGAACTGGAAGACTTTTGTAAGGAAGAATGGGCAAAGATACCTCAAACAAGAATTGAAAGACTCTTGGCTGGCTACAAAAAGCTGTGATACTTGCCAAAGGGGGCAGTATAAGATATTAACTATGCAGGGTGCCCAAACTTTTGCAGACGCCATTTTTTAGTTTTCTGTTATTTTGAAAGTGTAAATGATGGAAATAAAATCTAACTTTTGTTGACATATTATAAGAATGTCTAATCTGTAATTTTTATGCCTTTTGGAGATTTTTCCATCTTTCCTTGGCTTCTTTATGCACATTAATACAAATTTTTAGCTGGGGTGCCCAAACTTTCGATCCCCACTGTAGAATTTTCATAGCCATTTGAGGAGTGTTAAAAACCGCTTCCCAAAAGCCTGTCTAACACCTGCTAACAAAGCTAGTGTGAACTTAGCCTAATTCACAAAATTACATATATTACAAAATTAGTTTCATCATACTATTACCTGTGTTACACTCACATTCAAAAACTTCTCAACAACCAGGTTTTTGATCTATCGTCAGTGAATGCTCCTATTATTGATGAATGAGTGAGACTCCCCTCCTGACACAATTTCTCATATCCTAATTCTACCTCATCTGGCCACATCAGGAGGACAGGCTGTTACCTTCCATACTTGCCAGAATAGGGGATAAGAATTTGGAAATGATGAAGCAGGATAGCAGAGAAAACACTGCAATAAAAACAAGGAAAGTACAAACACATTGGGGGCCTTTACTCACACAATTCTGCCCAATACATCGGGGGAATTCCTTCAGGAAATAACACACAAAATAATAGAAGGCACAACAGCAGCATAATGGATCGGTTTTATTCTTAGTTTTATAAACAAATTCAATACATTTAATAAAAAAAACCTTACATATTTAAAAAGTCTCCTTCATTAGTTCTTTTTTGCCCTGCCCTGTAGCCTTGTTTGATAAAGCCATTGGGATAAATTCTGCATATAAATATTCTCGGCTAACTTGTCCTTTTTTTTATTTCTTCTGCTAGGTGTTCCTTGGAAACTTCAACCTATTAACAGAAAGAGCAAAATTTGTGAAATGAGATTTGAGAAAGCACAAAATGATCATACTGTTGATAAAGATTGTGATTGTGCTGAGGGGTTTAACCACTTGCCTACTGGGCACTTTTACCCCCTTACTGCCCAGGTCAATTTTCAGCGCTATTGCACTTTGAATGACAATTGTGCAGTCATGCAACACTGTACCCAAATGGAATTTTTATAATTTTTTTTTTCACACAAATGGAGCTTTCTTTTTGTGGTATTTAATGGCCGCTGGGTTTTTTATTTTTTGCACTGTAAAAACAAAAAAAGAGCAAGAAATGTGAAAAAAAAATGTTTTTCTTTGTTTCTATTATAAAATTTTGCAAACAGGTAAATTTTCTCTTTCACTGATGAGGCGGCACTGATAGGCAGCACTGGTGGGAATTGATGCTGCTGCAGTGATATGCAACACTGATGGGTGGCACGGCTGGGCGCCACTGCTTTGGGTATGCACTGATCATCAGTGCCCTGATGATCAGTGCAGATGTCCTCTGTGACAATTGCCGGTTATTGGCAGTACCTTCTCATGCTGTCACAGCGTGAGGAAAGTGCTGCCGATAACCGGAAACTGTATTTACTTTGTGCTCAGCTGTGTCATTGGACACAGCTGATCACGTGGTAAAAGCCCCTGTGATTAGCCTTTTACCTTGTCATGTGATTAGCTGTGTCTGTAGGACACAGCGATCACAGATAGTGTCGGGTGCGCGCCGCCGAGGGCACATGGGGGCGCATTCTGGGAGGACATCATATGACGCCCTCCCAGAACTGGACAACTGCGCTGTAGCAGTCATTCGGCCATAGCCGGGTTGTCAAGTGGTTAATTAACTGTAAATGCAATTACTAATAAGCCTCATTCACATGGGTTGCACTGAAGTGTACATCTGTGGAGGGCCCTGTTTTCCCGCACAACGATGCACATGTGCTCCGTGCATCAACGTGTAGGCAGTCCCAATCCCATCAACTGGGATGCAGTGGCTGCATGGACACAGACGCTGTTCCCAATCTGACATTGTGTGGGTGCACAGCCTGGAATGCTCATTGTTTGTGTTCAGGGTTGTACACTCACAATGAACGGATGGACAGAATTCCAAAATTCTTCAGCAGATAAAAACATCTTCTAGAAATATATTTCAACTGTGTATATAGCCTTTTGCCTAGAGTTCAGCTTTAATGTTGAAATAGTCTAAAAATAATCAGGCAGACTAGATGTGAACAAAGCACTTAGATCAGATGGCTTGCCTCCATGAGTAATCAAAGAGCTGAGCTCAGTAAAGTCTAAGCCATTGTTTCTCATTTTTAAAAGCTATTTCAAGTAAACCATCCCTGAGAGAATTGTGTGGCAGCCTTTACTGACCTCCTTCTAAAGATAGGAATTGTCAATTACACTGACACCTGGAATGAGTACTTTCGGAGACAATGAACTGAAAGAAGTATGCAGATCAGGAAAATCACATCACATTACAGTCAGAAGTTCTTATCTTGCTCAGTGATAAAAAGTGTAGCTCTACCCTCCTGGGGGCTGCTGTGTTTCTAGGTCCCTTTAAGCTCTGCACAGCCAGGCAACATGCATTTTCCACACTTGCATCCACAGTTTGTCAATGTTTTTATGATTTTATTAGGGGAAATAACTTGGATAGGGTAATAGGGATTATAGGATGCCCAACTTGACTGAATCAATGTACAAGGACAACTTCCTTTCTGTTTTCAGAAACAGATCCCGGACTGTTCTTTTCCTTGAAAGCTGTCAGTCTTTGTGGATCAGTAGTAACAGCCCCTTACAGGCTAGGGACTCGCAGCCCCTCTGAAAATCAGCTTAACTTCTTGCAAATCATATGAGACAGAGATGTCTCCTCTCCCCTGTAGAAATACTCCAGACACTACCAGCCCTCCTGGCTGCTCTGAAGATCTCCCAGGACAAGGATAAAGGATTAAGCACAGCACTGTCCTTTTAAAGCTTGCTACATGTGACAGTCTTTCCCCTTGTGAATCTCTGGGTGTGCTGATGTACTCACGCTGTCCTCCTTGCTCCCACTGCTCCCAGGTCTTACTGCTGTTCATGCCGTACTGCTGAATGGACCCTCCTGAGCCAGCCCAAGCCCAACCTGAAGGCCAGCCCCCCCCTAGACCAAGGGGACCCCTCCCAGGACACTGATAGTCTCCTCAGCAATCCAACTTCCACCCAACTCCCCTGCGAGCCTGACCATCCCAAATTTATGGGTTGGTCCACCACTCTACCAGGGCCTCCAAACCTGGGATTGGTTAGACTCCCATAAATATGCAGATTAAGTCTCCACCTCTTCTGCCCACTGGATTCTGGATTGTTTTATGGTCCTCCATTGCCAGGTGGAGGCGATAGAGTCCCAACCTGTTAAGTCATCCAGCCTGACCTGCAGTAACCTGACCTTAATCACAGACTCACACAGTTACCATGATTCATACACAATACATTTACCTACACTATACTACATTAGTTGCACACTAGAGGGTGCTACAAATGTATAGGAGCAAAAGGACAGCATGACAAGCAAGCAACAAGCAAATACCATCAAATGACTGCAACACACAAGCCTATAGTCCACTCATCCCAGGTGCCAGGCAAATGGCCCCACATGTAGTAAATGGCAGTTTTCTTTGACTTGCTTGGAACAATAAAGCTTTGTGACTTCTGATCGGCATCAGAGTATGGCCAACTCTTCTTTTTCAACTAGCATTGGCATAATAGGAAGTGGCAATAAGAGTCTCCATTTTTATCTCAGAAAAGTTTCACTCTAAAATGACCCTGTCACCTTACAATATACAGGGATTTGGAAATTGGTAAACTGGATGGACTGATGTCTATATTCAAACATACCAAGTAAGACACTAAGAGTGCACTAAAAGTGGCAATAACTAATAAGAAAGTGAAAGAGTGATCGATCAGGTCTGCCTATCCAGTTTTTCAGGTGGACCCAATCAAATGGTCCATATATCCCTATGGATCGGCCTCCCTCCAATCTAATCCGGTTCGCTTAAAAAAACCAAAAAAAAAAAACTGAAGGGGATCCACCCCCCTCCATTTCGGCGGTTCAGAACGAACAGTAGTCAGGTGTAACTGGACAACAAAGTCCATTTACACCCGTCCGCCCATAGAGCACAGTGTGCTCTGTCTGTGTCCACTCTGCATAAACTGAGCAGACACAGACCTGTGATCCGCCCGCTTTGCTCTGATCAGCAAGTAATCAGCAGACAGATACCATGCTGAGCAAATCAGTTTCTGCCCCATTTGAGAGGGGCCTTACAAGACACAGTAATGACTAAGGGATTGGCAGGAAGAGTTTCGACACTGCCAGGAGTGCTGGTTTCTGAGGACCCAGCTGACAATTTTGATTTAATATTGTGTCTTTTTGCTGTGTCATGGCAGGAGATGCAAATGTTCACTGTTCTTTATAAAGACAGTGCTTATTGCCACTTTTAGTTTGGTGACAGGGTCACTTTAATGGCTAGCTTGTTACCAAAGGATTGGCATGAACCAAACTGTTACCTATAAATATTAGAACCTAAATATTGTGCTCCATAATTAATGCCAAAAAATTAATATACATCAATGAATCTCCAACTGTGTCATTATTCCTGATATTTTCAGCTGCTTTGCATTTAGGATCTGCTGGATCACATCCCCCTTACGAAGCCACATGACCTGGTGGCGGAACGCGTAGGGGAGAGGCTCTGACGTCACCATGCACTTGAGAACTAGACGGCGAGTATAGGCTGTGTGCGGCACACACACAGAGGAGGCTCTTTTTATATTACAAAGTGTGTTATTTATATATACAATGTGAGTGCATAAGCATATTGGGTACAAATTAAAAGGCTTTTAAAAGGATAAGGCACTATATTTCCTTTCTTTCACATATTTAAAATGTTGGAGAAATAAGGAGAAACGGAGGGACAGAGGAGCAATCCTTCAGCATAAAGATGGAGAGCTCTCTGCATCCATACCTGCAAATAAGGATCGGATAGGAAACTCCAGGGGATATCCATCACCCAGCAGATCATAATAAATGCACAGCAGCTGAAAATATCCAACCATTATTAAGGACACAAAGCTATGTTTGCCTAAATTAAATGTTAGGCTTTCATTGAGGTGAGCGCATGTTGATATTATAATTCGGAGGGCACTCGCACAAGGAATACAGACATCGTTTGGATCACATTAGTTTACTTTTGGGACTGTCACTATTTATTTATTAATATATTTATCAGATTGATTTATTGATTAATTTAATTCATATTTATTTTTCACTTTTAGTTGTTTCAATTATGTCACATGGTACACGTTACTTTTGATTAAGCACAAGAATAATGACACACAGTTGGAGAGTCATTGATGTATATTAATTCTTATGGCATTAATTATGGAGTGCAACATTTAAGTTCTAATATTTATGGTTTAATAACGCATGGTTATGAGGATGTGTACTAATGTCAGCGAACCATATTATTATTAACAATATAGCAAATTATTCACTTTTGAACTTCAGTGGCTCACAAATGCAATTTATATAATTTTCTACAAACTGTTACCTGTACATGAGCATTTGATAGAAATATCTAAATTCTTATGAATTCAAAGGCGGTCTTAAAGGGGTTCTGAAGGCTGAACATTTTTTTTACTTTAATGCATTCTCTGTATTAAGATGAAAAAAACCTTCTCTGTGCAGGTCCCCCCCAGCCCTGTCATGCACCACCTGGCAGGTCTCTAGCAACCTACAGCACGGGATTCCTCAAGGCGCGGGTCCGAGTCCCAATCTGCTTATTCACCAGGGCCCCTGATGGTGGGGATGGACTTGGAGCAGACTGAGACCAGGTCGCAACCCCTGAGTACATCCGGCAGTGGTAGAGAGCACCGTCAGAGGTGTGCGGAAAATGGAGCCTGACGTGAAGAGGCTGGCAGGCCTGGTAACAGGGACAGATCCATGCGGGATGG